ATAAAAACAGTCTAATTATTTTGGGAAAAAATGTGACTGACTCCAACCACACCTCTTTGGAAGATCCCCAGCAGTTTCCAAACTGGGGACAAGGGATGGAGGAGCCATGGCCTGTGAAAGAGGGAACTCTGGATTATACAGGCCCCGAGTGACCTATCTGCTCAACTCAAGGCTCCTCACAGTGCCTGCTTAGCAGTGGGTTTGGGGGACAAAGAGGCTGGAGTGAGTGGTGCTTTCTCCCTGTATGCTGATCTTCAGGGCTTTGGTCTCAGCTGCAACTGTGCAGCTGGCTACTAGATGATGTCTAACAGGATGTCTGATCCTAGAGGCCCGGGTGCTGTGTGGGCCTGACCAGTGTGACCTCATGTGTTTGTCCTTACCCTCCTCGTGTGTGTGGGCACGTACACACACACACACACACACACACACACACACACACACACACACACAGAGTTTGTATTCCTGGGAGTGCCTCCTGCCACCACAGGGGGCTTGTTTGTGGTGCATTGTCACAAAAGAACGGATACAGAGGGTCTGGTCAGGCCTTCCTCCAGAACTATCCTTCCCCCCAGGCCACGATGCCCTACAAGGTGTAGCTCTTCCCTCAGCCACATGGCAAGCGTCACTGTGCTTGAGAAACCGTGGACACCGACTGGATATTGTGTAGAATTGTCATAGCTGGCATCCTTGCCCCTCCGGGATTGCTGTTTTATCCACTGGGCTCGCCCTTTCTGCAGAGTTACTTCCTGCCCAGATCCTATCTGTCCTTCAAAGTCTTGGATAGAACTAGCAGCTCGATAAACGATTCCTGAATAAAAACCATGGCTTGGGGCCTAACCGGTTTGGCTCAGTGGATAGAGCGTCAGCCTGCGGACTCAAAGGTCCCAGGTTCAATTCCGGTCAAGAGCATGTACCTTGGTTGCGGGCACATCCCCAGTAGGGAGTGTGCAGGAGGCAGATGATCGATGTTTCTAACTCTCTATCCCTCTCCCTTCCTCTCTGTAGAAAAATCAATAAAATATATTTTTTTAAAAAAACACAAAAAACCATGGCTTGGTGTCCTGTATCATATGGGAAGAAGATTCAAATATGGCAGCACCTTCCCCTGTCTCTCCCTTGCTGGCATCTTTGTCATTAGGGAAGCTGACACTCTGGTCCATCTTGCTCATGAGACTCCTACCAGAGTTTGAATTTGAGTGGCAGGTTCCAGTCAGAGGAAGTCAGTCAAGGCTCCAGGGTTAGTGTTAGGGTTAGGGTTAGAGTTAGGATTAGGGCATTCCAAAAGCAGGGAGTTCCAGGAATGAGCCTGGCCAGGTAGGCCCAGGGCACCCCACTGCTCTCCAGTCAATCATCCTGCCCTTCACAGATCCACCCCAATCCTGACCGGCCCTGCTGCACACCAGCCAACCTCACACACTGAGTTTTTCCTTCTTGACTCCCTTTCTCTGCCTTCCTCAGACTGGCATGATGAAAGTGCCTGTTCCCAGAGAGGTGCACAAGGACCTAGAAGACCCACAGGCCACATAGAGTGGAGGCCAAACCTGGGATGGCGAGGAGGGACCTTCCAAGTGGGTGGGCCTCTCAGTCTCTAGTCCAAATGCCAGATACCAATAGGAAGAATAAGGTCCAGGGAGCTGCCCAACAAAAGTCACAGAGTCCTGGTTCCACCATGGGGAACGGCCAAGTTCTAGAACCTGGGCTCTTTCCTCATATCCTTAACCCACTTTTTAACTTTTTTATTTCAAAACTAGTGGCCTGGTGCATGAATTCATGCACATGGAAAGGAAATTAATTAGAAGAAATATTTTAATATTGCTTTTCGCCCTTTCTCTATAATAGAAGTGTCAACCAAATTCACAATTGACAATGACAGATCAAAACACGCCTGTG